CGGTGGATCCCTCCATACCAATGCGCTCATTACTAGACTTCCCGGATCCCTTTCCTCCTCCTGCTACAGCCATAGTCCCAAGATCCTGGTTTGGTTATGACTGAAAGGGTGGAGCTTCTCTGAGTGTGCAAAAGTATTGTGCTAGGCAATATTGCAGGTTATGGCGCCCAACATGGGTGAAGAGGCACGAAGCAGTGATCATTCCACCAAAAGCTTAGTACTAGCTTACATCCTGTTAAGTGAACCCCCCAGTTTCCTCTGGGGCAGTCAATTCTGCGAGGAATGAGAGCACCCTTTTTCTATTGTTCTCAATTCTCAATGTACCAAAAGGGACACGCTCCAGCGGGTGAAGCTCCCCAGCAGTAGACTGGAGCGACCGGCGCTCGTACTAGAGGAGGATGCTGTTATCACCTTCCCTAGTGATGTAGCCCTCTTTGGGAAGAAGAAGAAGAAGAAGAAGAAGAAGAAGAAGATCATGACTGCTGTCACGTACATTTTTTTAATCTTTTTTATTTTATTTTAATATGGGTGCTCACAGGACCCACCCCTACCTACGTCATCTTTCTGCTTCCTTAGCAACCTCTGCTTCCTCATCTACAGGGGCACTTGTTTGACTCTATCTCGGGTATACCGGACAGCGGTTGCAGACACCAGCGCTAGGCCAGGACAAACCTCTCGCAGCCCTAGTTGAAGCACTATCGAGCAAGCCTTGTCACACGGGCACTTCGGTCGCCAAGCATGATCGTTCTTTGTTTTTTTGCTATGAGCACCAGCCCAGGTTGGTCAGACAGTGAATATTCCTTAGAGCCTTCCCTAGGCAGTGTCTACCGGTTCTACCCTGACCAAGGTCTTACCTGAGAGTCTGAGACAACCCTTCTGACCCAACCCGGGCACCATGTTCCTAGCATAGCCTTCTATTATTGCCGTATTAGGGGTTGTGTTATTGTTCATGCTCAGGGGGGCAAGGTTATCGATTCCGTAAGCCGCACCAGTTTGCATACTTTTTTTCTTTTTCTTTCTTTCTTTCTTTCTTTCTTTCTTTCTTTCTTTCTTTTTTTTTTTTGTAGAGGCCAGTCAGTGTGTGCACAGTGATCACCTGGAAGTGTGAGCCGCGGGTGTCCTGGAATATGAGACCACCTCCCAACCCATCCTCACGTCAATACTCCTAGCGCACCCCCTATCCCACTATCCTACCTCAGTGTGGCCAGCACTCAG